GACACTTTAGGGAGATGTGACAGAGAGCGATGGAGAGGCTAGGGTGAGGGAGGCTTCTCTGAATAACAAGGAGACAGGTGTGCAGAGCAGAGGAAGAGCACTGCTGCAGCAGGAACAGAAAGGAACTGGAAGAAGGTGGGAAATGGGAAGCGAGGTGTGAGATGGGGTCACAAGAGTCACCAGAAGCCAGATCACCAGGCATTAGCCAGGGGAAGAAGTGTGGATATCAACTCAGTTTCAAACCTGAGTTATGGGCACAGGAAGGGAATAGGAATAATGGGAAGTGAAGAGATCAGCTGAGGAAAGTTTTGGTAAAGAGAGAGAAGAGGGTGAGACCAGCTGTTGGAGTAATGGCTATGTCGCTGGGAGACCAGCTGTTAGAGTAATGGCTATGTCGCTGAACTCCCATGTAGTTGACCGCAGTTCAAGTCCCGGACCTGGTGGTTTAAACTCACGTCAGGCATATGCGCGTGCGTTCTCAAGATCCCACGAGGAGAAGGGATTGCAGCATGGCCATCCCCCCGGGAGGTGATTTTTCGGTTTCTGTCTTTCTGTCTCTCTCTTTCTGGCGAGCGCACGTGCCATATAGCAAAAACCTCTCCAAAAAATTTTAAAAATAAATAAAAAAGAGAGAGAGAGAAGAGGGGTAGAGAGACAGGAGAAGGCACAGGAAGAGAAGCATAGCATGGAGTCTGAGAAGTTAGAAAAGTAGAAAGAAATAAATCCTGAGTATGCAGCATGGGTTTCTCTAAAGGAGGAGTAGTCATATCAGATAGCATGGTGAAGAGGTAAGGACTGAACCCTAGATTTAGTAGCAAGGAAGTTACTGGGAATCTCCCAGTGACTGGTAAAAACAGATTAGGTAGAAAGCTGGGGATAAAAAGCAAATGATAGGGACATTACCAGTTGCTATCCTTTGAATGTGTCCCCCCTCCCCCAAATTTGTATGTTGAAATTTGGTTGTAATGGGATTAAGAGGGTGAAGACATAATCTGACCAGTGTTGAAAGGTGGGACCTTTGAGAGGAGATAAGGATTAAGGTCCCCAGGGCAAGGCCACATGACTGACTCCTGGTGGATTTAGAGAGGGAGTAAGAGACACATGGGCACAGTTGTATGCTCTCTGTCCTCCTGCCTTCCGCCAAATTGTGATACAGCCAGAAAACCCTCACCAAACTCTGGACCTCCAAATGTGTGCTAAAAAAACCTCTCTATTCTTTAAAATTACCCAGACACAGGTATTTTGTTATTAGAAACAGAATGGACTGGAACATCAGTGAATGCAGACAATGAGTATAGACAAGTCTTTTAAAAAGCCTGGATATAAAAAGGAAAAGACAGACAAGGCAGCAGTTGTATAATGGATGTGGCCTCTAAGGAGTGTTTCATTTGCTTTTACAAAAATAATGAGTTATTAAAACAAATATCTATATTTTTAATAATTAAAAAAACCCTTTATTTCCTTTATATGAGAGAGAAAAAGAGACAGACACTCTCAACAGAGTCCTCTCACTGCAACCCACCCCCACTCCAGACCTGAAGCCAGCCAGGACTGTGGGTACCCCTGGCATGTTCAGGTAGCCCCAGGATGTAAACCCAGAGCCTTCCCATATGGCCTTCTGCACCGCATGGCAGCGCCCCTACTGCCTGCACTACCACAGCCAGGCCCAGAGCATATTTACATGATGCTGGGAAGAAGCCAGAGAGTGGGAGCATACTTGGAGGGACAAGGTATTTAGGAAGGTATGTGGGTGGGGATCCAGCCCAGATGGAGAGAATCAGAAGCTCCACATAAAAGAAGGGAAACTCTTCTTTAGGGGCCTGAGGCAGAAGAACTGGGGCAGGGGTTACAATTAAGTCTGTAGGTGTGTAGCTCAAAGCTGTGGACATTCCTTTGCTTTTCTCTGCGAAAGAAGAGACAAGGCCATCTTTTTAGAAACAGACAGGTGTGGACTATCATGTTTGAAAAAAGTAGAGAAGGTTTACAAAAGATTTGGAAAATGGGGGAATGGGTAAAGGAGGAAAACTTAGAGGGCTTAGGCAAAGTCTCAGCTGGGATTGAAGATGGAGAGTCTATGAAAACCACAGAGTAGCTGAGGTGTATTCTAGATTGTTTCATTGCTATAATCCTCAGCAGCCCTTAACAGGTAAATTCTTAGCAGAGGAAGCTGAGACATGAAGATAGACATGTAAACGTTACACTGAGGTCAGCCAGGGGATCAGCTTGTGGACCTCAGTGGGCTTTTTATTTTGCTTAACCCTCATTTACGGAGCTACCATAGTGCCAGGCTCTGTGCTAGGCTCTGAATATGTGGAAAGGAATCAGATAAAATCCATGGCCCCTGAAGCAGAAACACAGCAGATTTTTCTATCATGACACGATAATGGTAGGGACAGCCAGTTATCAGAATGCACTGGGACCTGAGTCACATTCCAACCAGTGTAGCAGAATTCGAGATTGGCCACCTATCAGAGCCGGCAGGGCTGCTTCCCTAGGAAGGCTTCTTTCTAAGGGCAACCTTCCAAGTCAGCTTGGCCATTTCTTAAAGCAGCTAAACTAAAGGTTACCCCTGATTATCTAAAGATAAGTAGCTGCCAAAATTAATCAGTCATGAGCCAGCCAGACAACAGGGGCAACTGCATTATAGCAGAATAAGCCCTAGACCAGAGTCAGGGGGCGTGAGTTTGAATCCAGAGTCTGAAACCTTGTTGCTGTGACTTCACATTGGTCACTTAATCTCTCCGGGTTCTGATGCCACAACTTCCACAATACCAGGGGTCTCCACAAATTTCATGGAAATACAGAACAAAACTGCATAGACTTCAAAAATTTTTACACTAAGGTAAATTTATACTTTAATTCTACTCTTCTGTGAACTTCTGAAGTCCCTTCATATATTCTAAATCTATCAATGTTTCTCTACTCTCACTGCTATACTCTTATTCTATGGCAATAGCAGCTCTTTTTGAGAGTATTGTATCAGCCTCCTTCTCCTCTTTTTTAAAATTTTTAAAATATATTTTTTAAAATTAATCAGAGTGTGTGCTTTCTTACCAGAGAAAGAGAGATGTGGGGTGGGGGCGGGGAGTGAGAAAACACTCCCAGTTCCCAATGGGGCGTGGCATACTGCAATCCCTTCTCTATCTCTCCCTTCTTTGGGGATTTTTGGGCACCTGGTGTATTTTTCAAACTTCTGGGTCTGGGACACAAATTATGTGATCCTGTGGGATCCACCTCAGGTGACCAGCAGGCCTTGGGGTGGCCCTAGCTTTCTAACTAATCTGTGGTCACTACACAACTTGAGGACCTCCATTGCTTTTCTGCTATGAACAGAGTAAATGCAAGCCCTGGCCTTCAGGGCCCTACAAGACTGGCTCTCATCCATCTCCTGTCCTCAATCTTCACTCTCCAGCATTTCACCCCTTGAGCACCCAGCATCTTCATCCCCTGAGCATGCTGGCCTTTACACCTACTTCCTGCTCTGCCGAATTCAGCACTCCTCAGACCTTCACAGTGCTGCCTCTTCCACATCCAGCTCTTGGCATGAATGTCACCTCCTCAAACAGGGCCTCACACTGCTCTCTTTGTCCTACCACATCATACCGTGAAGCTCTTGGTATTCGAAAGCATCTGACTCACTTGTGGACAAATCAGTTGTTTGCTCCAGAACTTGACATAGTGGGTTGACTATTACTTTCTTTATCAAAATATGGCAGATCTAGACACTTAGAGAGCAGTGGTTAGGAGCACAGACTCTGAAGTCAGCCCTGCTGGCATAGACTCCTACTCCATGTCTATGAACTGTATGATTTGTGCAAGTTACTTAACATCTCTGTGTACCAGTTTCCTCACCTATGAAACAGGGATAATAATAGTAGCCAACGGCTTAAGAGGATGAGTTTGTGTGTGTATGTGTTTAAACAGATTCATAAAAAATAAAAAAATAATCAACAGAACCTGAAACATATTAAGTGCTTGAAATACTTAGCAATTCCTCTATTCTCTCTGCTCCCTGTACTCGACTCTCTGCCTCTATTATTTGTATTGTCTATACAGTAGCAAGTTGCTCTTTTGTTGATCTTTTCTTGTAATTTCTTATAGAGCTCCTTGTTGATGGAGACTGTCTGATCATCTTTTGTGTCCTCAATACCCAGAAGAGGGCCTAAGCAAAGAATAAGAGCCTAGTGAGTGGATAGAGAGAAGGAAGAAAGGAAAAAGTGAGAAGAAAGGGGAGGAAGGAAGATGCAAAAAGAAAGGAGGAAAGAAGAAAGGAGAGAGGGAAGGAAGGAAGAGGGAAGAAGAAGGGGACAGAGGCAGAGAAAAAGGCAAGCAGACAGGCAATTCAAGGAGTCCAGGATGAAGATAAATCTTTAGGGAGATAAAAGATTTCCTCTCTCTTTGCATTCCCTCCAGCCCCTCCCAAATACCAGAAAGGAAGCTGAATCCAGTGACTATCAGCTGGTCTTCATCTCATTAACTGCTCTAGACACAATGCTAGAACCACCCAAAACTGCATCCCCTGGCCTCAACCTCCACTGCCCTCCTCACACAGCTGCACTCATTTTCCCTATTACGCCTTTGTTAAGGGAACTCCTGTCTGCTTCCTAGGGTATCCACAACTCCATGTCTGACATATTCTTCAAGGCCCAATTTAGTCACTTCCTTCCCCAGGAATTCTGCCTTGATTTTCCAGATAAAGGTATCCTCTCCTGCAAACTCCCAGCACATCATCTGTCATTCTCTTATGCTGGTTCCTTGAATTGTACTTGTGTTCACAGGCCATTTGCCCTGTTAAGTAAGAGCTCTTTGGGGACATCTGGAATATCTGTTCTTGTGTCCCCATGCCCAGGCCTGGGCTTGGCAAGCAGAGACCTCAGTAAGTATTTGCTGAACTGAACTAATACATAGTACCTAGTACATAATAGACTGAATGGTACCTAGTACATTCTTGACAGAATAAAAAACAGTATCTCAGCCACTGTTCCCACTCAGAGACCTACCTCTGACGATGCTTAGTTTGTGGGGCGAGAGGGGTGGCTTGGGGACTGCATCCTTCTTTTTTTTTGTGGCGACTCCTGTGACGCTTCTGTTCTTCAGAACATCTGTTCCCCAAATCATGACTGCCAAGTTCTTTGTGTACTTGGAATCTCCTTGGGTTACTTGTAGCTGGTGCCATTTCTCCTCATCAACCCAAATCCCACTTCCCAGATGGACCTGAAAGGGATAAGAACACCAGCACCTGTTTAGTTCAGCAG